CACTGTAATCGGTTAGCTCAACCAACATTATTTGCTACTAGAAGATAGTCTCAGATAGACGACAGTGTAACTTACTGGATGAAGAATAATATCAAAACATACATTCTGACGCTAGCTGGAAGTTACCAGGAAACTGAAGATAATGTGAAATGACTGCATCTTCCTTTCAGCAAACTCACATGGCATTCATACGCCAGAGATAATTAATTCCCATATCGATCTCTCCGTGTTCTCTGACATTGAAGCACAACCGGGTTAAGTGTAGAGACCGTCAGTGGTCAATGTTGCAGAAGGATAAGAAATAAGCTGACGGTAATTTAAGAATAGAGACGATTCTCCTCAAGCCCACTCGGTAAGCATTTACAGACCTTGAAATATTAGTTTCAATATAGAAAGATGTTGTGAGTGAGCAGTCACCTACAAACTAGCAGGAAAATACTCTTTTCGAAGACTTCATTTTCATAGATATACAATCGCATAGTCAATGTTTGACAGTGAGTGGAAATCCTGAAGTGCAATAATATTGGCGTACAGGATTATGACTCACAGTTGACTAGATAGATATATGAATGAATAACTAAGTAAACTTAGAATTTAGGGCTGACATTTCGAGTGAGGCAGGTGAAATTCGTCTGACGAGATCGTTGAGAAAACCGTTTTTTGCTGCCAATTTACGAATGACCTACCCTAGCCATCCACTGGTCCACCTTAATGTCAAGGAAATGTTACCTCGATTATCTGATTCCATGTGTATTTATATGTTCAACTTCTCTTGAGGAGTTAGGCACATAGGACGTTCATCGGGAAGCATGTCCCGTCGCGTTCGATAGCACCTCCCCGTTTGGTCGAGCAAAGGAGAGCGTAGAGGTATTGAATCATCGATATTGTGACATGTTGTAGATACTGACCACGACGCAGCATCTGACACATCACTTAATATAGTCCTCAAAGTTTACCGAAAGGGACACGAGTGTATTTGTTTTGTATATCAGCGGTTTTGGCAACACAGCACAAAGCCACGACTTTGTGCACAAAACCAATTTGCACGATCTCTTTCCTTACCATGGTCTTCAGTTTACTGTGTAATTCGCATAAAAACTTTATTATCCTTCTCAATTTCAAGTTATGTTGTCATATTCTAACATTTTATCTAGTCTACTATGTTGACAACATTTCACTCATATTATTTCGTCATCATAGTTTTATTCACACATTCACATTTCCCAATGAACTTTATTTCCCGGTCATTTATTTGACCCATGTCTATTGAACTTTAGGCTGGCCTCTATTTATTTATTTGCTTATTCATTCATAAATCTAATCAATTGTGACTCATAATCATATACACCAATATTATTATAACACTTTAGTATTTCCTCTCACTGTCAAGCTTTAACACACACACACACACACCAAAACACGCAAGAAGACTGATGGTTACTGTGTATTAAAAACAGTTAAAACAATTAGTCCCTGTGATAAGTATTTGCGCTATACATTTCAAACAATCTGGTCACACATTTCTTGTCAAGTCAATTTATGTGAAAAAAATTCAAGGACAATTTGTGTACTTTACACAAAGTGACAAAAAAGAAGTTTAGAATAATAAGAATAATTAACATCACATTTGGTTATCCAATCAGATGAGCATTACCAAGATAGGTTAGATGTAATAATAAATTGACATTCAACACACTGGGGGAGGTAGGCGGGCTTAAGTATATGAATATTTATAGCCTCAGCATATTTCTATAACCGCCCTTGACCATTTTTATAGATGACCTTAAAAGCTGTGTTCATATCAATCTCATGGGTCATGTCGATTAGATATTTGGCTATAGACGAAGTTGGTAGTCTGATACCTGCCTCCATTGATTTTCCAAAGTTGATCTTTCTTTCTAACCATTTCGGAATATGCTCTCCCCCTCACATGCAAAGCGCGATTACTCCCCCACTGTGTATATGCTCACACCTACACGTAAATTGTTACATAAAGTGGGATGTGACATAATCACCTATGCACTTTTGAGGTTTGCAGTGGAGCATATTTTTGGCTGTTTCAATGGTTACAAGTCGGGCTGTTTAATAGGTCCTACAGATGACCGAATTTAATCTCTGTCTCAAAATCCTACTATTTATCTCTCCGTTGTATGGTAATTTGATGAAGACATCTTTCTTAGTGGCAGAATAGATTGTAGGTTTTAAGACTAAGTTACTTCTACACCTATTTAAAATGTTTAAAGGATATCCGTTTTCAACAAGAGTATCCACCAATATCTCATTTTCCTTCTCTATAACATCAGCTGTACAAATACGCTGAATCCTCTTAAATAAACATTTCACCAAGCCTCTCTTACACTGTAGTGGACAGAAGCTGTGCAAATTTAAGTATTGCCCTGTCCAAGTAGGCTTTCTGAAAATTGACCGTCCTATTGAAGCATCATCTCTTTGACTCAGAAGTATGTCCATGTATATATGTATATATATATATATATGTGATTGTACAGGTTTGAAAGTGAAATCGTCGGAAAGCGAGATTTTCTTCCCTGAATTCTTTGTTTTTATGTCTTAGTGGGGATTATTAATTTAAAAGCAGGAGGAATTAAGTGTCCAGTACTGCTCGGTTCCGCCATCAATATCCTATCAAAGCCATTCGATTCTCTAAAACGCTTCTCGGAAGTTGCTTTTAAAGTATTTTAGTACTTTTACATTAAAAAGGTTTCAATTTACGTCTCTCGGTAATACTAATACTAATAATATTTTAAATGAAACTTTTGTGGATTTCAAAAATAACCAATAAATAAATCTACTAGTTCTGAATAGCGTCGAAACAAATTGACCAGTGTCCGTATGATTACGAAATGTATGATACTCACTAATGATGGTATATTTTAGTGACACGATCCTAATTCTTAAATCGTTTATCTTTTCTCATTAGAAGCTTTTAATGATTGACCATAGATAAATCTTATGATTAGTTCAGTAGTCAAAGGTTTATATCTCTCCGTGTCAATACCTTTCTTTAATAACCTTTTTTCCGTTTCATCTACTTTTTCAACCATAGGACTTCTAACAATCGCGTTGTTTAAATTTTATCATGTATATTGACTCACCAGCGTTTTAGCCTCTAATTAATGCCATTTTTGAGTAATACGAATACAAGCCGTTGATCAATAAATCATTGTCTCTTCGACTTCTAAAAGTCTGGTCATATTTCCTCATCTAAAGTGTTACGAAGACCAATTGATAATGAAGTGAATTTGTTTCTTTATTATTCTGTTTAGCTTTCAAAAGTAAATCAGAATGCTGACGTACTTTATAGTTTTATTAAGTATGAGGGATATTCAAAAGCACTTTAGTGGAAAGCACTACGTCATAATCATATTTGTCCTAGTGGTCAAAATTTGAAACACCATACAGTAAAGTTGATTGTTGACGTGTAACTACGTCTTCCAAGACTTGAAAAGTGCATTTCAATAGGAATTAAGAGAAGGGGAATGTGGTTTGAGATATTCATGTCCTTGATTTGCTTAAGAAACGATGTGTTTTGAATTACTCCGGTTTATCTTTGTGCAGTATTCACACGCAAATCCTGTCCCGTTGCCTGAATTTCCCCGCGATTTAGTCCATAGTTAATGAAATATGTATAAAAACGCAATTCAAAATCTTTTCGCATAGACGTACTCCCCCTATGTTCCACTGGGGAACATAAACATGTGTGCATCGGTGGCATAGTGGTTAGGACGCTCGCCGACCATGCACATGGTCCGGGGTTCGATCCCCGGCCGACCCACTCCTCCCTTACCTCACTAAGCCAGAAATAATGCTGGTGAAGAGGAAAGGTTGGGTATGAGGCTAGCAACCCCATCCTGTAAAATAAACACTGCTACAGAAACTTCAAGCCACTAGCTTGAAGCCCTATGTTCCACTGGGGAACGTGCATAGACGTATAACCAAATTCAAACCATCAGCGAACACTTCAAACAAGTGAATTCTAAAACACTGCATTGTTGATTCCAATATGTGGAATATCAGTATAACAAAAGCTAACTAAATTAACTAAAAATTAACATAGATATAATACCTGTTCTCTGAATACAGCAAGACGAATAATTGTTTTGAATAGTGAGGCATATACAAGTAAATTATATAATATTCTTTGACGTGAAAACGAACTATTGAGAAAGACTTATCTGTGGATAAGAACCGAATTTATGAGGGAAAATGAGAATATCATTAATATACGAGCCCCTTCAACGCTCTCATCCAACCATTCCTCCTTTATATAGTCCTTCAGAAGTACATAGAAATAATGATTCGCTATGCTCAATAATCAGTAGGTTAAATTCACCCTACCACATGACAGTAAAATGGTCTGCTGAGTTTCTTGAATCAGTGCTGTCATTTCTTTGTGAATACAGTCGTTAAGACATTGAATATCCTTTATAGCCTCTCTTATTTGACATCAGCATAGCTAGCTGAGAGTAAAGTTCGGTGAATGAGGTTGTCTCCAATCTCGAAGATATCATTCGTAGTGAAAACTGTCTGATGTGTTGAACACTTCTGACAATTCAACTGCGGTCACCCATCTGCATGTTTTATTATCAAAACAGAAGAGTTAAGTTTTCCATTTTATTTCTTATAATTTTTAATTAATACCAGTTATATTTATTTGTTAATAAATACTGTTAGACTAAAAATCTGTTATTTCACTCAATAAATAGGAATTAACTTATACCTAGATGACGACATTGAACAAAATTCATGTCAGTTAGTTGTGCCTTGAACCCATCGATAAAATCTCCGACTGTGAGATGTGCAGTTAAAGAAAATGTGTAAACCTCCAAAGGAACATGATTTACTTAGCGTCACAAATATGTTTATTTTTGATAATGACTGTTATCAGTTGCAAAGCCTAAGTCAAGGACGTTCGCTCCATTGTATTTACAGCATTATCAAATACACACATTTAAACAAACGAAAATATATATTCTACTTACCTGCTATACTTTAAATTGGATAGATTTTCTGACGAAATATCACAGCCTTGTATAAATGAATACACCGAACCATTATTAAATAAGCCATACAACTTTCGATAATTTTCAAGGTGTTTTATTGTTTTCATGTATTTGATTTCATTACTTCTATCTATTAGACTACTTGTCAAGTCACCATGAATGCATATAAGAAATGAGGCTGTCGTCTGTTGTGAATGAGAAGGAGTAGTACAAGAATCTGGCTGATTATAGTCAATTTTAAGTAGTGTATTTGAGAAACCATTGTTCAATATCTACAATTTTTACATTATTATGAGTTGTTGTCAATGTCATCTCTACCTACCTTTGTAACGATATACTTTTGTTCATAGTCCGGAAATATTAATGATATTAGCTGATAAATAGTTTTATAATCATCAATCCCATTAATTGTTAAATTAAAATGTGGTACATCTGATTTTGTTCCATTCATTTGTGTAGTCATTTTGGCCGTCACACTTGTATTTGTCTTTGTTTATTTATTAATAACATTTGACCTTTCTTGAAGGTCACTTATTCTGATTGGTTGCGTATGCTGGACGAACAACTGATATGTTACAGTTTGACACATGATGTACTGACCAACGCGAGCGTGTGTTTGCTTGCACACATATACTGGATGGTAAAATGTGTTTTATGAAAGGTATATTGATTGATGAATTCACTATGGAAAATAATGGTCATCCGATGTTACACTGCTTTTTTATTCTTTCACGTTCCCAGTGGAACATAGGGCTTCAATCTACGGACTTGAAGTTTCTGTAGCAGTGTTTATTTTTACCGGATGGGGTTGCTAGTCTCATGCCCACTGTTAGAAGAGCACTTTTCAGTTTTAATTTCATACTGATAATCATATATACATAAAATACATTTGGAACTTAATGCACATGGCAAGTCTTTGCTTCAATCTGTAGCACGAAAGATATTTCGGTACACAATCTTTAGCATTGATATCTATTTTAAAAATCAGTTTTGACCTCCCGGTTGATTAATTGGGGTGAAATTTTCGGAACCTGTTGACATTTCAGTTATTGGTACGGACTCTTCGAAGACATCTGATGATTCAGATGAAGAGATTTGGTGGATGGTGACTAGCTGTGGAATCGATGATGCGCATTTCGTCCTATTTAAGACCTGACATCTTCATATACCTGCGTGTCAACAGAGGAAGAATATTTCGGTCCAAACAATCAAGGATAAAATTGAAAATGGCCCAAAAGCAAACAATATATAATGGTCGTTGCACAAGATACGACTGCTGTAGCCAGGATGGTCTAATGGGTAACGATTTAGAGCTTAAAAGGTGGGTACTGGGATCCAGTCTCATTAGGAACATCAATACTCATTAGGGATTGCGGGTACATCCAGTGACGAGTCCCAAATAGGATGATTTAAGGATTAGGATCGTGTCACTAAAATATACCATCATTAGTGAGTATCATACATTTCGTAATCATACGGACACTGGTCAATTTGTTTCGACGCTATTCAGAACTAGTAGATTTATTTATTGGTTATTTTTGAAATCCACAAAAGTTTCATTTAAAATATTATTAGTATTAGTATTACCGAGAGACGTAAATTGAAACCTTTTTAATGTAAAAGTACTAAAATACTTTAAAAACAACTTCCGAGAAACGTTTTAGAGAATCGAATGGCTTTGATAGGATATTGATGGCGGAACCGAGCAGTACTGGACACTTAATTCCTCCTGGTTTTAAATTAATAATCCCCACTAAGACATAAAAACAAAGAATTCAGGGAAGAAAATCTCGCTTTCCGACGATTTCACTTTCAAACCTGTACAATCACATATATATATATATATACATATATATATGGACATACTTCTGAGTCAAAGAGATGATGCTTCAATAGGACGATCAATTTTCAGAAAGCCTACTTGGACAGGGCAATACTTAAATTTGCACAGCTTCTGTCCACTACAGTGTAAGAGAGGCTTGGTGAAATGTTTATTTAAGAGGATTCAGCGTATTTGTACAACTGATGTTATAGAGAAGGAAAATGAAATATTGGTGGATACTCTTGTTGAAAACGGATATCCTTTAAACATTTTAAACAGGTGTAGAAGTAACTTAGTCTTAAAACCTACAATCTATTCTGCCACTAAGAAAGATGTCTTCATCAAATTACCATACAACGGAGAGATAAATAGTAGGATTTTGAGACAGAGATTAAATTCGGTCATCTGTAGGACCTATTAAACAGCCCAACTTGTAACCATTGAAACAGCCAAAAATATGCTCCACTGCAAACCTCAAAAGTGCATAGGTGATTATGTCACATCCCACTTTATGTAACAATTTACGTGTAGGTGTGGGCATATACACAGGGGGAGAGTAATCGCGCTTTGCATGTGAGGGGGAGAGCATATTCCGAAATGGTTAGAAAGAAAGATCAACTTTGGAAAATCAATGGAGGCAGGTAGCAGACTACCAACTTCGTCTATAGCCAAACATCTAATCGACATGACCCATGAGATTGATATGAACACAGCTTTTAAGGTCATCTATAAAAATGGTCAAGGGCGGTTATAGAAATATGCTGAGGCTATAAATATTCATATACTTAAGCCCGCCTCCCTCCCCCAGTGTGTTGAATGTCAATTTATTATTACATCTAACCTATCTTGGTAATGCTCATCTGATTCGATAACCAAATGTGATGTTAATTATTCTTATTATTCTAAACTTCTTTTTTGTCACTTTGTGTAAAGTACACAAATTGCCCTTGAATTTTTTTCACATAAATTGACTTGACAAGAAATGTGTGACCAGATTGTTTGAAATGTATAGCGCAAATACTTATCACAGGGACTAATTGTTTTAACTGTTTTTAATACACAGTAACCATCAGTCTTCTTGTGTGTTTTGTGTGTGTGTGTGTGTGTGTGTGTGTGTTAAAGTTTGACAGTGAGAGGAAATACTAAAGTGCTATAATAATATTGGTGTATATGATTATGAGTCACAATTGATTAGATTTATGAATGAATAAGCAAATAAATAAATAGAGGCCAGCCTAAAGTTCAATAGACATGGGTCAAATAAATGACCGGGAAATAAAGTTCATTCGGAAATGTGAATGTGTGAATAAAATATGATGACGAAATAATATGAGTGAAATGTTGTCAACATAGTAGACTAGATAAAATGTTAGAATATGACAACATAACTTGAAATTGAGAAGGATAATAAAGATTTTATGCAAATTAGACAGTAAACTGAAGACCATGGTAACGAAAGAGATCGTGCAAATTGGTTTTGTGCACAAAGTCGTAGCTTTGTGCTGTGTTGCCAAAACCGCTGATATACAAAACAAATACACTCGTGTCCCTTTCGGTAAACTTTGAGGACTATATTAAGTGATGTGTCAGATGCTGCGTCATGGTCAGTATCTACAACATGTCACAATATCGATGATTCAATACCTCTACGCTCTCCTTTGCTCGACCAAACAGGGAGGTGCTATCGAACGCGACGGGACATGCTTCTCGATGAACGTCCTATGTGCCTAACTCCTCAAGAGAAGTTGAACATATAAATACACATGGAATCAGATAATCGAGGTAACATTTCCTTGACATTAAGGTGGACCAGTGGATGGCTAGGGTAGGTCATTCGTAAATTGGCAGCAAAAAACGGTTTTCTCAACGATCTCGTCAGACGAATTTCACCTGCCTCACTCGCAATGTCAGCCCTAAATTCTAAGTTTACTTAGTTATTCATTCATATATCTATCTAGTCAACTGTGAGTCATAATCCTGTACGCCAATATTATTGCACTTCAGGATTTCCACTCACTGTCAAACATTGACTATGCGATTGTATATCTATGAAAATGAAGTCGTCGAAAAGAGTATTTTCCTGCTAGTTTGTAGGTGACTGCTCACTCACAACATCTTTCTATATTGAAACTAATATTTCAAGGTCTGTAAGTGCTTACCGAGTGGGCTTGGGGAGAATCGTCTATATTCTTAAATTACCGTCAGCTTATTTCTTATCCTTCTGCATCATTGACCACTGACGGTCTCTACACTTAACCCGGTTGTGCTTCAATGTCAGAGAACACGGAGAGATCGATATGGGAATTAATTATCTCTGGCGTATGAATGCCATGTGAGTTTACTGAAAGGAAGATGCAGTCATTTCACATTATCTTCAGTTTCCTGGTAACTTCCAGCTAGCGTCAGAATGTATGTTTTGATATTATTCTTCATCCAGTAAGTTACACTGTCGTCTATCTGAGACTATCTTCTAGTAGCAAATAATGTTGGTTGAGCTAACCGATTACAGTGAATAGCTGATATATTTTGTTTGATCAATAAACTTTGGCCCGAATAGCTGTATACATGACACAGTTATACAATGGGCCAAGTATACACATGAATACATTAGTGTTATCGTGTCTGATTTATTCACCACATAATTAATTAATACATGCTCAAAACACAAAGGGAATCTACGTTTCGTCGGACTGACGGAAATGCTAGTTTTACAGACGTCTTCCAACTTTTGTCAAGCCTAGATTCTTTGACACTTATTCGCTGACTTTTTCACACTTTTGAAGCACACTAAGTTTTAAGGCAGAATGAAATGAAGAGCTGTGATAATAAAGAATGAGTGAAGACTTTCATGAATTTACAAAGCATAAGTTGACGTAATTGCTTGTAGGAGTGTTTTTCAGATAAAATTATGTTGTGTCACATGATACGCTGTCGATGAATATTTTACTTGAAGGTTGCACATGTGAAGTGGATATTTCGCGATCAATTGCTGTGCGAATTCTGTACTGTGTGCTAATATTTTGTGCACAATAGAGCTGTTGTGATTTTATTATTATTATTGATATTAAATGAGAATGTATGGAATTCAACAATCATTGATTAACTTTCTAACTACTGCATTGGAATTCTCTTCTACACACACGCTAGCAAGTAGTCGCCTAATTGGAAATCCAAGGTCAACTCTTTAGGCTGACGATTTATTGATCAACGTTTTTAATTTATTTCTAGAAATTAGCGTAGTGTGCTATTCACGACAGCGCATGATTGATTGTTTGATGTGGTTCTAACTTTCTGTTATTCTTATCGTTAACTCGGTGATGTTGTTCTGTAATTCAATTTAATTTCTACATAATGTAAGATGATTTTAGTTTTACATGTCACTGAAAATAGTTTATCCTTGAACTGGAGTGTAAATTATCCATGTTAGAACATTATTTATTGTCTTACAAGTTTGCACTATTATGTACAGAGAATAGTACATTCCATTTCACGTGATTGTGATGCAAACCTACAAGGCGGCATTATTTTCCATGAGTTTGAGGAGAACCACAGTCCAGAGTTCTCGTGTTCAATTTCTTTAATTACCAGGCGAAACAGTACTGATTTGGACGAATGTCTTAATCTGTGCACCATGAATAATT